TCATAAATCCTGAGTGCAGCGCAATCAGACATAATCTCACAGAAGGCTTCCAGAAAAGGTAAAAAACGAAGGCTTATATTTTGTGCACTACATAAACTGACCATATGGAGTAACAAAGGGCTTGCTTTGCTCACATGAACACTTTTTAAAATAGTGATCAGGGAAATTAACATGAACTTTAAAAATAAAGAAATGCATAGACAAAAGGAGATCATGATTAAAAATATGTCAAGGAGCTCTAGCTCAGATCATAAATCCCATTAAAGTATTTTATCACCACTCTCTACATAATGTTTGTAAGTCTTTTGACATTTAAGATGTGCTAATTAGGACTTGACAGCTTTTCCAGACCGCTCTTCTCACCTGAGTGATTCTCCAGTCGTTTTAGCTTGGTTTTTCTAGCTAACCAACTTCTGGCTTCCATCTTCTGCAGATCCGCGCTCCACATGTTTCCGTGTGTGTCCACTATCTCTTTCTTGATATCATGTTCTAGGTTATAATTATCTGTTTTGGGGAGCCTTTCCCAGCTACCATCATATCCCAGGATGCACCACGCCACACAATGGTACAAATTATCCTCCTCCCTAACTCTGACTTCTCTCCGTAGACGAGCAGCAGCGTGAAGCATCTGTATCAGCTCGGTGACCCCATCTTTTAACCCGCTGACTACCAAGCCTCCATCTCCACTCTGGTCCTGCTGTACATGCAAACCCTGGGCCTCCACTAGCTTCTGCAGATCCTTTATTTCATCCTGGGTGAAGTCTGCCAACTCCTCCTTTGTCATTTTTTTTGTGGAGCAGTGTGCCTGGTACAAATCTTTTACCTTCTTCATTGCATCATGGACACTCTTTTTACCAAGGCCCAGGAACAGGAAGATGGACCGCTGATGAGTAGTACAGAGGACACTTAGGTCTGTGTTAAAACAAGTCAAGCACTGATAGGTTATAAAAACACATCAACAGGATTCTGATAAACAGGAACTTGATGTTAACATTCATCAAACTACTTGTGTTACAACAGAAGGAAACATCTGCATTATTTGGTGTTTAAATATTAAAAAAAAACATCTACTACGAAACTATAACTGAATAGTCTTCATGAACTTGTCCTTGAATAGTTCCCCTTTTCAATTACATCTATGCATTTTAAGAGTTTTATGCTGGCCTGTTTGTATACCTCCCTCATTTTTAACTCCTAGCCAGTTTTTGAACTTTGTATTTGTCCCTTTTTGTTAGTCTCATGTATAATTTCTAAATAAAAAGCTATACTCAAGCAAACCTGGACTGCCTCTTTGTTCTGCTGTTAGGTCACTGTTTCTTTTAGTCAGTATGTTTTGCTGATAGCACTTTGCATCTTTATTTTGACTGTTGAGCTTCTGCAGATTACAGTATTTATACTTTTACTTATCTAAATAACCTTTATGCTTCCATTTGTTTTGTGCTTTACATCTACCTTAGTTTACTTAACTCAATACCTTGGTTTTCCCGTTTCATGCTCAAGTTGTTTTTGTAGGAGTCACCGTAAACCTGCAAATTCAAATGCATGCAGTTAGCACCATCTTTTTATGACATGTGTTGTTATCAAACTGTTAATAGAATAAAATAGAAATAATCTAACCTGTTGAACCAAACTGCTAACATCAACATATGGGATTGTTGTGGTTGCCAGAGT